GAGCAGCCAGTGCTTTCTTACGTACTGAGCCATCTCTCCAGCCTCCATAATTACTCTGCTTCGTTAGTTCCTACTGTTAGTCTCTAATTTGTGCCTAATGCCTAGAGTAATGGTATAAAACATACAAAACGTATTTATAGGATTCAGCACTGTCTTTAGTTTCAGGCCTCGGGTCTCGATGGTCTTAGAATGCACCCTTATGAATATGGGGACAGTATTATAAATATGCATATAGTCTGTATAACTGTTACAGGGAGCCCACCAGAGATCACCAGTCAGACCAAACTTAGAGCCAATTGAAAGCCGTTATTCCAGGCAGCTGTAAAGTATTAAGTATTCCCACCCAAGTGTGGCCCTGAGCATTTACACCAAGGGGCTTTTAAAGGCAAAAACCACATTCTGGTGTCTCACTCAGCAGCTACAGGAGGAGGTTTGCACCATTAAGCAGTTTAACAAACTAAGATAAGAAAGCTAGGACATCTTGGCCTTGGATCCCAGAATTGAGGAGTTGAGGAATTTGCCACATTTCTTTATCAGGAAGATCAAATTCTAGTTCAACCTGAATGGCTTCAGCAGGAACACAAGATGGGTTGCCCTGTTAGATAATTTGGGAGGTGCTATATTAGGTTGGCCTGGATATCCAAGTAGTTCATGTTCATCCCTACGTGTAGTTTTTCAGTGGTTTCTCTTGTTAGAAGAACTCTGTTTCTTTTTATTTTGTTGTTTCCCAGAAAAGGCTACCAATTTGTATTCTGTGAAAGTTTTCAAAGTCTTGTTTCCAATATTACACAAAAGCATGTTCCCTATTGAGATATTTAATAACACTATGTTAGTTTTTTTTAACTTTACTATTATATTAATTGGGCAGAACTTGTAAAAGAAACAGTTAATTTTTAGTAGTTGCTTGAAAGACAGCTTTATTTGTTTTTCAGTCTGTTCAATCATATTTTACAAGACAATGCATGTCTTTAAAATATTTTCCTAGTAGTAGTCTGGAGTTGTATAGCAGAGACCACCATCTGGTTAGAGAGACTCTGCAGTCTGTACAGCAATTTAAATGTACCGGTATGTGTGATACTGGAATAATAGGAGTTTTCCTGACTTTCTGTATTTCATTATAACAGTCTTACATGAAAACAATTTTATAGTGTTTAAATGCAATAGGCTAGCGCCTAGTTTAGTCTCCAGTAGGATACTTGGTTAAGGCTGTGAGTGTGCTTGGCAGTTATTTCTAGGAGTGTGTCTGAAGAAGTATGCTACCGCAGGGAGAATGCAATGTTGTCCTTGAGACCTTAGGTCGGTCTTCCCATTCTTGGACTGGGAAGACACAGTTGAATTAGTGTCTAATCTTCTGAAGTTGTGTTTCTCAGAAAATGCTGCTAATTGTTCTCTTTCCTTCCTTTTCCCGTAGCATGTCTTTGAGTGAAAAACCAAAAGAAGTAAAAATCCGTGGAGTGGAACAGAATGTTAGACCACTTTCACAGGGAACTTGTAGTATGAAGGAGGCCCCCCAATCCAGCTCCAGCACTAATCATGTGGCACCAAATTCCCTGGTTAGGGAAAAGAACCCAAACTATCAGCTTTCACCAGTGAAAGTCCCTGCTGCTAATAAAAGCAAAGATTGGACTTCTCAGCTGCAGCAGAACTCCATCAAAAACTACTTCCAGCCATGCACCAAAAAAAGGTATGTTGTCAATAATTCCCCAACTGTGTCTGTGAAAGAAGTGTTCAGATAGATAATGTACAGTGGTGTTTTCTTTAACTGTTTCTGTGGAAGGCTCGTCTTTCTGTATTAAAGATTATATTCTGTGTGTGTGTGTGTGTGTGTGAGAGGGAGAGAGAGAGAGGGAGAGAGAGAGAGAGAGAGAGAGAGGAAGAGAAAGTTCAGAAGATAACATGTAGGAATCAGTTTTCTTTGCACCGTGTGGATCCCTTGAACCAGCTGCAGACTGTCAGGGTTGGGGCCCTAGGCTGAGCTCCCTCGCTGGCCCCGTGGTTTTATTTCTGAGCCACTAGGCCCATTATACAGACTGCACTTCGTTTTTCTTCATGTCCTCCTACTTTAGCTTTTGTTTCTGGGTGCTTGCATCTTTAGATCTCTCTCTCTCTCTCTCTCTCTCTTTAATAACCTATCTTGCAAGGTAAAAAGAGTGGATTATAATCGTCAGTTACTCCCTCCGTGCCTCCTCAGATCTGTATCTCCCCTACCATCCATTTGCAGCCAGCTCTGCACTCAGGTCTTTGGCAACCTAGTCAGCCGAGGACCCAATGCGAGTCCTCTGGGCTGTGGTACAATCGCATAAACAGAAGCATTTAGTGCTTCTGACCTGGCACACGTGTTTACAGTATTCAGTTGGTGGTAGCTTCTAGATTTAGCCTGTTTGGCTTAATTTTTTGATACCAGCTCTCATTAGCCCATCAGATTACAGTCCCAGGTATAATTTTAATTGCCTATGAATTTCCTATACTGCTAAATAAGCTGCTGCCTTCTGCCCAGTGGGTCCTGGGTGTGTCTGTGTAGTTCTCTTTTCCTTCACACTGATTTATCTCTGATGATACATTAGCAGAGGACAGGGCTCTCCATACGCTCTAACCATAGGCTGCATCAGTCCTTTCAGCAGAGTAGAAATCATGACGCACATAGCGTTCTAAAGATTTGATTTCCAGTAATACTGTTGGTAGTCAGGAGTGAGTAGCAAGGACTGAGAAATTAAACAAAATTCTTGTCTCTGATTTTGCTTTCTTTTCAAACCTAAGGGAAAGGGATGAAGAAAATCCAGAAATGTCTTCATCCAAATCGTCAAGAATGGAACTGTCTTGTTCTCTTTTAGAACAAACGCAACCTGCTGCACCCTCACTGTGGAAAAGCAAGGAGCATCCTTCTCAGAGTGAGCTTGTGGACAAGGAAGCAGGGAGCTCACTTGTGGGTGACAGAGACATGAAACCCAATGGGACGAGTCCTGCCACTAAATCATTTTCCACAGAGTATCTTAGACCAAACAAAAGGAAAGAAGTTGATTCGGCCATAGAAGAGGAAGTATTGGAAGAGCTACTCAAGCCTGCGGAGCTGGGGCTGGAAGTTCAAGTGAAAGTTGAGAAACAAGAGGCAGACATCGGTGTCAGAAAAAAGCCAAGGATGGATGTAGGAAGGGGTAGTCACCTTAGTGGTGACATGGTGCCAGGAAGCAGCAGAGTGAGTGTAAGTAACAGTTTGTTTTATGAGTCAGGATCTGTTGTACCCAGGCTGGTCTCAGATTTGATGCATAGCCTTTGCTTCTTTCCCTTCAATTCTGTTCCTCATTGATCCACTGCCCACAGTGTGTGCAGAGCTACAGAAAAGTAGTTCTAGTTTGAGTCACAGAAGTCTGTGCTCTCTGCCTTTCCTGCACATCCTCAATATCTACTGTTGTTACACACTCGTTCATGGCTCCTGTCACTCACGTCTTTGGAATCCAGACAGGAGCAGACAAGAATTGAGCACCGTATACCCGTGGACACCACTAGTATTTTGTAAAACAGCCAAAGCCTTTCATTTAATATTTAAGGGTTTATGATAACAGTATTAGACAATATTATTTTCCTGTACTACATGGTTCTATAGCATAGTTCTTTTGTTCTTACTCTACTGTTTTAAATCTTAGGACAGGCCGATATAAGCAAGGGTGCAGTGAGATCATCGACGGCCTGACTACTCTGTAGATGGGAAAAGATCCTTGTATCTTTGAGAGAGAGAATAGCCAAAGGCGTTTGTGGGAGTCCAAAGCAGCCATGAGTCTCTCCCTGGGACAGAGAGGAGCCTAGCACACGGGACTAGCTCTCTGAAACAGAGAGAAATTGGGGGGAGATAAGTCTGAAAACTGTAATAGTCTGGGAGTTTAGGGAAGAAGGGGGGTTGTGAAAAGCCAGGACACTAGTGTGGGGGCTTTGGTACACATAAAAGGTACAATTTAGTAGGGACCAGAGCAGCCTGAAGGTGAGCATGGGGCTTTGATGTGTAGCCAGCTGCCCGTTTGTCCTACTCCAGTAGGAAGAGATATGAGAAGTAAATGGCTTTTCCTGGCAGAGAGAAATCCGCTTCTCAGGCCCCTGAGGAATGCTGCCTGTGATACAGTCCAGCCTGAGCCAACAGTTCCATCTTGAGATGTCTCTGCCTCAGGCAGGGTGGAGGATGGTATTGGTTCCCTTCGACCTAAGAATGACATTATCAATGGAAAAACAAGTGTGGGAGTTAAGAGAGTAGGCAGCCACTATATTCAGGTGCTAACTTGTTTTTAGTAAGAATCCTTGCAGAGAAGTTTTTGTTTGTACATCATTAAGGAACATTTTATTTTTCTAGCACTCAGGAGTCAGAGGTAGACAGATATCTGTGAGTTTGAGACCAGGTTCCTAGCCAGCCAGGCCTATACAATAAGATCCTGACTCAAAACAAACAAACCAACCCTTTTTATTTTACGGTAATTGCTGATTCTCTTTATGTGAGAGAAGTAGTATAGAGAGCATGCGTGTGCCCTCAGCTGATTTTCCTGTGCTTGGACAGCTTGATAAGATAAGATACAGCATCACACTTAGGAATCACGGTGTCGCTAACCAACCTGACTCAGTATGAGATTAGTTTTCATTTGATTTTCTTACACGATTTTGAGAGTTTATCTTTGTAAATGCTTATAGAGGAAGGTGGACCAACAATTTATTGATAATCTGCCATCTCAGAAATAGTATCTTCTTGATAAAACCTTTTCTTTTTGCGATACAGATCAACTGTTCATGCAGTTTTCTGGCCATGATTTTATAGCTTTCGTTGTGTCCATACTGTGTTGGCTGGTCTCTAAGTGTGTAATTTATGTGCTTCCAAGGGCACAGAATAATTGTTTTTAAGGTTTTTAAAAACATGATCTATAAACAGTATTTTTTACTTTTAGCAAGAAGATGATGAACCAGAAAAGAAAGTTGAAGTCAAGAAAGAATTACTGTGGTCGACAAAAGACGAAACAGCCGTAAGGAGATTCTTATTTTTTTCTTAGAAACGTTAGACATAAAAGATTATTCTCATGCAAATTTCTGTCAGATGCATCCTTGTTTAATATTTCCTTGTATAATTCCGGTTCATTTTGTGATTTTCCCCTTTCTGGAAATAGATTATGTTATGGTCATGAGACAGGAGTGTAGAGAACCTTAGGTCTAACTCTTTGGACCACACAGATCCGCAGTCTTTTAGATTAGTGTAGAGAACCTTAGGTCTAACTCTTTTCTCTGAACCACACAGATCCGCAGTCTTTTAGATTAATCATTTTTTTAAGGATTTTTTAAATCATTTTTTAAGAAAGTCATTTGTGCATAAGATGAAGCTTTTCTAGCAGAACTGTTTATATCAAATACGGTAATGGATCTATGATACCTGTAAATTACAAAAGAATCAGGCCAGGTTTACTTAAGGTTCAGATTGCATTCTGTTGTTATCAGGTGAACCTTTTTGTTCTTTTTGAGTGCACATACCTTACATATACATTATGTAGTTCATAATTGGAAAATAGCTAGGTGTGGCCTTTGCTTTTAATCCGAGCACTACTAAGGCAGAGATGAACTCTGAATTCTAAGCAAGCCTGTTCTGTATAGCAAGTTTCAGATTAGCCAGGTTAGTGAGACCCTTTCTCGAGGGAAAAAAAAAAAAAACTCGATGTGCCTTGATGTTCGATTGGATTGGATTAGAAGTAAAAGGAATTGCAGATCCAGGCTGTGCATTTTAAGTCATTATAGTCAAAACTATTAATAGGAACTATGAGAGTCAGTACATTTTTGCCAGTGAGAAATAAGTTTATTTCTATACCATAAAAGCCCATGTTTCCAGATTTAAGGAGCTCTTGAAAGCATTTTCTGCTCATGGTACTGTTGCCCTGTAAAAAGTCAGTGAGATTCCTGATGACGTAGTAGTCAGTTGGTAGGTAGGACATGGTGGATAAGGCAGAACCTCACAGCTCAGCATCCTCCGCTCTGGGGTGTTGACAGATGTGCAGGTAGACGGGGTGGTGGAAAATTGAGACCTTTCTGTCTGTCTGGTAACTGTGGCCGTTGCAGCGTTTGCCGTACACGCCTCTCGGACGCAGTGGTCTCACTAGGAATTAAAAAGCTGTCCTGGGTCAGGCCAGCAGCCAGCAACCAGTGACTGCGACCGTTTTCAGATGCACGTTTGGAGACTGTCAGTCCATCCAGTGAGGTAGCCATCACTGTTGTTGTATACAGCACACTTTGTGTTGCATATCACAGTGTTGGTTGAGAAGTGACTTGCTCTGTAGATGAAGAGGATGGTATTTGAGCTAACACATTATTATACTGCTCAGTTTCTGGGCACCCACGTGTGCGGCTTTTTCACCTTTCCAGTTTGCTGCAGATGCTGAGCAATTATTGAATGGCCCCTAATGATTCTTCAACAGTTTTCCTTGTAGTTGTAAGAGCTTCTTCACTGACTGCTCTCAGTTGGCCATGCTCCCTGATGGCTGCCCACCACGCTCCTCATTTTCAAGGCTCTGGCCTCTTGCTAAGCCTCCTGAACCATCACTGGCCATCATGTGTTCGTGAGCAGTTCCTGGTCGAGTGTGTTGTATGTTGTGTCTGCTGCCTTGTGAGCCATTTTGAACTCACTCAGCATCATTTTTATAGTGTAAAGTAAATATAAAGTAAGCAGGAAGTAGTAAGAAAAAACGTAAAGCTGGAAATGTGCGTTACAATTCTGTGTTCTGTAACCACATTTGTTGAGAATGTATTTCAGTGTCAAGCGGCAGGTTTTAACAGGGCAAACTGCACTTATTACCAATGTAGTAATAGCAAATGACATAAGCAGAGAGTATCAGTGAACAGGTTATTAGTTAATGACCACAGGTGCTCGTTCAGAATTGGTTTCTAGATGTCATGAAAATATAAATACAGTAGGTGGGGACTGGTAGAGTGGAATAGTTCATAATCATGATTCATGGTGCCCATGGGAAGCTAGCAGATAGTGATGAGGTATGTCGGAGACTCTAAAGGAGGAAGCTTGCTGTGGAGTGCTGCCCAAGCCGCTGTGTGGAAACGCTGTGCGTGCTGGAGTGCTCCGAGTCATTTTCTGGTTTTGATCCCAAATGCAGAGTTCAGATGCCAGGAACAACTCTGTTTTCCTTGGGTACTTGTACCTTTCCTGTAGATCTAAATGTCAAGTTCTTTCCCTTTCCTTCTCCCTCTCTAACCATTTACTCCCCACTTAAGAACAGTGATAAACTTCCAGACAGCAGTGAGCTGCTTCCGAAAAACGTGCTGCTGACGGAATTTAGGTCGCTGGTGGTTAATAACTCCACTTCCCGAAATCTGTCCGTGCTCAGTGATTGTGGCCAGCTGAAGAATTTTAAGAAATTCAAGAAGGTAAGTGTCTTCATGAACTGTGTTTCCAGAGGGCAGGGTTCAGGTCAGAAACACAGCACTGGCACTAAATTTAATAAAAGGAGTATTTAACGTCTAGGTTTTGTTTTACATAAGACCAGAAGTTGGTGTGTATTATAGAAGTTCTTTCGCAGGTGGTTTGGGCTGATTTGTTACAGATGTTCTATTTCAATAAAGGGATTGCTTTGAATTCTGTAATCTTCCTGCGTGGCCTCTCAAGTGCTGGGATTATGGGTTATGTTTGAAAATCTTAGAATAAGAAATAGTAGTTTAAACTATAGTTTTCTTCCCAGGAGTTAACTTTGATTGCTAGATAACACACTACATCGATTTTTAAATGAAACCTACAAACTAAAACTCCGAAGTTTTTCTTAGTGTGTAAGTCCTGGTTGCATATCTGAATCCACACGCAGTCATAGCTAGAAAAGGCTGGAATCAGATGGGTCTGGTGCAGTTCTGCGTCTCGTTTGTACTATTACAATATACGCTCTGTTGATATTTGTGCATGACTGACACTGTTTGCATTTTAAGGCTTTTAAATAATAGTTACATCGGCATTTTAATATGCCTAACCTCACTACTTCTTGTCTTCCAGGTCTTGTTTCCTGGAGCAGGGAGGCTTCCACACATCATTGGAGGATCAGATCTGGTCGCTCACCACACTCGCAAGAATACGGAGTTAGAGGAGTGGCTGAGACACGAGATGGAGGTCAGGGGCGGGCAGGGCTCACCTTCGACTTGTTCTTTAGCTCTGCCGACTGTTTTTATTGTGGGTGGTGTGTATGCATGTGTAAGAGTGTGCGTGGGTGTGCCTGCCTGTGCCTGCACGTGTGGAGGCCAGAGACTGGTTTCAGAAGTCTTTATTTCTATTTATTCATTTGAGAAATAGGGTCTCTCGCTGACCATGCTGGCTGGTGAGCTCTCACTCTGCCTGTCTTCTGCCCCCTCCTGCAGAGGTAGCTTGTGTGTGCCTAGCTTGTATAGGGTTCTAGAGCCCTGAGTTCAGGTGGACATACGTGCACAACATCCCTTTATCCACAGCACCGTCTCCCTAGCGCCGACTAAATTCTTAACAGCAAACTTAATGTTCCATTCCAGAACATTAAGATTGGTCTGTACTTTTCCTTACTTATTTTAAGAGAATTACAGATTAAAATAAAGCAAACCGAACCAAAATAGAATAAGCTAAATCCTAATGTAAAGAGAAAGGAATCCTGAAGCCACCGAAATGCAGGTGAGAAAGCGTGCCCAGAACAGGACGGCTGTGGTCTGGTCGCAGGGTTGGCTGCCCTCCAGCAGTTCGGACCCTTCTCTGAACGCTGTCATTGTCCTCTTTCTCTGGACTTGACTTCTGGGATGTCCAGTAATGTTTTATCAAGTTAAATTTTTCTTTGGAATAATTTTGGTTATTTCTTTGTTTCTCTCTTCAACACTGATTGTTTCCATCTGGCTCTATCCTGCTCTGCCATAGGCCAAAGCAGCTTTATTTATCAACCAATGAGAGCAACACTTACTCACAGTGTACAGAAGGACATCCCACTGCAAAATGTTTCATGAATACAACTTTTTATGACAGTACATAAAATAATAATAAACCCAAAGCCCGAAAATTACCTGTTGGAACATAAGTGGATCATGGTCCATATGCTCTTTGTTGAGGAGGGTGAGAGGCGAGGGCCGAAGGGAGCCGCGCCCACGCACCACCTTCATTGTTTGCACTTGCTTGGGAGAGTTTAACATGGTGGTGCAGCTACCAGCTCTCTCCGTCTTCCGTGTATTTTAGTAGGAGATAAAGAGAGGGGCTTTATGTATGCTAGGTTCACACCATGGCCACTCCAGAGCGATGTGAGCACTCGGTAAACTACACACCTAAAGGTACCACGTGTTGGCATCTTGCCCTGGGTTTACCCCCACTACTTTCCTTCTGCAATCAGTATTTTTTTTTTTGTTGTTCTTTTTTCAACATTCAGCGAACCCATCATAATTCTTATAGTAGGCCAGTTCTTAAAGTTTCTGTGAATTTTGAATGTTGTAGATGAAACATAATCTTTAGCTGGTCATGGCAGTGCACACCTTTAATCCCAGCACTCAGAAGGCAGAGGCAGGCGGATCTCTGTGAGTTTCAGGACAGCCAGAGCTATTATACAGAGAAACCCTGTCTTGAAAAAACAAACAAACAAAAATTTAGTGTTTTTTGTCCTGAGGCTTTGAGATTTTTTTTTTTTTTTTGCAGAAAATGACATAAGAAGCTTTTTTTTTTAACAATTTGTTATGCATGCTTTGTGTCTTCCTATTTATGCTCTGCTGCTGTAGTAGAAAATGTAAAAAGAAAAGATGGAATTTCATTTTATCATTTTACAATATGGATCAAACAAATCTGTGTAAGATTAAATCCCAGCAGGTCACTATTCTACATTTGTTTGGGGTATTTTTATTACATGTATTTTGCCTGTGTGTGTGTGCGCGCGCGCATGTGCATTTGTGTTCTCACACATGTGCTGTGCTTCAGCTCAAATACAGGTCAGAGGATAACTCATAGGAATTAGTTCTTCTTCCGTGTGGCCCAGGGTCACTCACAGAATGCATACATAGGTAATTATAAGACCAGAAGTTGGTGTGTATTATAGAAGTTCTGCCTCAGGTAATGGGCTGATTTGTTACAGGTGTTCTATTTCAGTAAAGGAGATCCAAGCTGTCATCAGTGAAGTTAAGGCTGGGTTCTCGTTGTGAAGAAGGCACTAAATAAATATTGAATAAACTGAAAACACTAGATGTAGGAAAAGAAATCGGGGTGTCTTTCTGGGCAGAGAGAGAATAAAAGCAGAAGGAATTATATATGTTGGGGATGATTCTTCTTGTGGCTCTGTTCATATTAACAAAACAAGCACACTATCCGTGAAGAGGCATAAAGTGATTGGGAGAAGCCAGGTTTAAGATTTGCATATTTTAAGGGTCAGACTCAAGAGTTGTTTTGCCTTTGGTAGACAGAAGTCATGGAGGCATATTGAATACCATGTGCCAGGATCACACTGGACTTGAGAAAGGAGCTTGCATTGGGAGCTTTTCCCTGATTCTAACTCTATAAGGTGCTTTAGGAGTTTGCTGAAGTCTCTTGAAAATGGTTGTGGCAAAAAAAAAAAAAAATCTGTCCTGATTTAGAAGAGCAGGGCGAGACCTTTTGCTGATACTGCTGCCTTGTTTGAAGGTGACATGTTTACTGCACTCTCGGGTAGACAGTGGCTATGACTCAGCAAGTTAGACAGGAT